CTGCGACGATTCGGGGACGAGTGAAGGTATAAAAGAGCTCTGGCGAAGGAGCAGACGGAGCGACGCCCAGCGTCTGCTTCGGAGGAGGAAGGTCTCGGGAGCAGCCTCCGCATTTCTTTTTTTCTTTCAATTTCCCCTCCAGAGTACTCGTCAGGAGGTGGGAATTTATTTTCGTGATTTGGGTTTCGCTGCTGCCTTAGGCTGTTAAGAGGGAGTGTCTTTTCTTAATAACTAACTATAACTAAAACTAACTTAATTTTAATTTAAATCTATTTTATCAGCTATTATGTAGCACTGCGGCATAAGTTACTAGAACAATTCTTTTTTAACGCAAATAATGTTATTTACTTATTACTTGCTAATTTTATTTCACGCATTATTCATACGTATTTCATTTTACGTATATAACCATTTAATCTCACTGAACTACTCAGAAGCGTTCGGTACCTTCTGTTCCCAGGCACAGACACTCTGCCCGCTTCGAATACATATTATATTAACTGCTATTTCATTTCTTCATTGCCCGACCAGTTCGCCAACATATAAATACATGCGATAGTTAAAATTCGAGAGATAAAAGTGTAGCATAATTGATTTTCAATAATTCTCAAATTTATTCAAATACTAAAATATTAAAAATTTGTGGAATTAGGTTTATTATCTAAACATCTTTTCTAACTAAACGACTTTTTCGGATTGTGTTTTTAAGTTTTTTGAATTTTATAGACGTTAAGAAGATCTGAAATAAGATTAAATTTTAAATGTATTGAAAAAACACTTTGGTTTTTTCTCCGTTAAGAAGGTTTTTGAAGTGATAATTCATTACACTGCATACTGACTATACCCAAAACTTTACATTACTTGGTTATTCTGTATTACATTTAGTGAGTGGAAACATTAAAGTTTCTATACATGAAGAACATCATTATGGTAAATTCTCGTACTACAGAAATATTCTTAAATATCGTAGAACAAGAATAAAAAACACTAACATTATAAAACATAACTATGAGCAAACTCGTAGCTATTTTAATATTTTATATCTAGAATATTAGTTTTCTAGAGGAACATGTACAAATCGTATATGGAGCATTTGTTGTACAATCTTACGCAAGACATTATTTCCTTATTTATGAGGTAACACACTCATCATTCTTGAACTTTGGCTAATCGTACTCCGCTGTTGGGTGTGTGTCTGGTCTGGCATTTCCATTAGCCTTCCTTTCGAGAGGAGTGTTTGGTTCTCGCATGTGATCTTATGCTTAGTCACTTATTTTGAGTCAGCCAATTGTAGAAAATACTGTAGGCGCTTCTGCGTATTATCCAACGCTGCCCTTAAATTTTCTTCCATTCTGCTCGCCGTGTATTTATTTTGCAACTGCGAGGATCGTTTCGCTTACATTTATGTTTCTCGCTGAATCCACACAAGCTTCAATTAAGCATTGTTACCTATATGAATTATTCATGACAAATCGCAATCATATGCCACACTCAATTTATTCCAATGGAATGGAGTTGTCATCTTGTGAAAAACTGTTACTTGAGATATTTTTAAACGTTGGTATGAATGTCAAAAAAGTCTAAGTTACACAAAAAATAATTCTTTACTATCATTTTAATACTTTATTTTTCAGAGTAAATGAGATGCCTTTTCGTCATGTGCATTTTGTCCAGGAGATTTCAGAAGATATATTTTGACCATTGCCAATCGACGTATCTTATTCCATGGTTTTGAATTTTCATAACACACACGGAAGAGCCTCAATTTAATTCATGTAAAGTATGCAGTGTGCACTTAGACTCCAAAAAAGAATAAAAGTACCCTTCGAACTTAGAATGTGGAGTGCTTGAACTGTTAGCTCCCTATGTAAAACTGTGTGAATCAAAGCTTTCTGAGGCAATTCGGATTACTTCTATCACGCCAAAGAATCTATCAAAGCTAAGGTATAATAATGGTCCCATGTATTTCCCCCTCCAGGGGATGGGGGATTCACAGATTAATTTTTTTCTATAAAAGTATTATATATTTTGGCGAATTAATAAAAATGAGTAAAAAATATTCATGTTTACAAATTTAAACAACAAAATGTTTTGTTCAACAATTTCAAAAAGATTTCACAACAAAATTTGCATTTTATATTAGTGACCACCCCATTTCTATGACAAATAAAAGACAACTTATCTTCATAATATAGAAAATTATTTAACTATGTTCTTAAAATACTACTAATAATTGGAACACGTATTATGAATTTTCAGTTTTCGTGTAAATAGTTTCGATAGTTTTACTCACAACCAAAAACTAACAAAATTCTAACAAACTCTTGAGAAAAAATTCATCATATTTTGAAAAAAAATTCACCATCAATAATATCATTGAGTTACAGGTTCATAAAAAAATTTAAACCTGACTCCTTGGTAACATTGGGGTTAATGGATGGCGTAACTACATCTTATATTAAGGAAATTTTACCCTTCCTTGAACTTTTATTAAAAATGTATTATAGCTTTGCCATTGACCCTCTGCAGCCGCATAAGATAAGTTTGAATAAATGTAAATACTTTTTCTTTGATTTAATGAATATGTAAACGTTATATGTGCAATCAACTGTACTTTAAATGTCATTGATAAGATTTAATTTGTTGGGGAGAATACCATTTGCTGCACGTACTTTTACATTGAATTTTATGTCTCATTAGTTACAGTTAGATCTGCTTAGACACTACTTACATCTTAAATGAAATAATAAATCTCCCAAACTCGACCACGCGAAAATTAATAAAATACATATTTTATCAAGTGATTAAGTTTTGTATATTGTTATTGTGTTGTATATTATTATGTTTTGGGTATTGTTATTATGTTGGAAATTTGAGATCGAATTAACAAGTTAATTATGTGAACAGTGTTGTATTATATTATTGTATAATTGTGATATTGAAATTGTTTTATTGGAGATCTAAATTTAAACTTATATACAGGATGATAATTGGATAATTGGTGTGGTCATTGAAATAAATAAATAAATTATAACATTTTTGGAATAATTTCATTGGTTATACTACAGCACATATATTAGGCCACATTCAATATTTAATGGCATGATATTTCTGTCGTACTACGGTATTTTCTAATGAATGTTTTACAAATAAAATTGATCAAAAGCCCCACAGAATTTCAATACAAAGGTTCACCTTAATATTATTATATAAATCCAGAGGGGCTACGTGAAAAAGAGGGAAATCCTAATCAGGCATATGACTAGAATAACCAACAGCATTGAGATTGGTATGGCCAGTGAATACTATGGTTTTGTATTGAATGTTCAAAATAACTACTATTTACTGATCAATAAAATATACAACAAATGTATTAAATCCTATTAAAAGAAATAAAACAAAAACAAAGTAGGTTTTTACTTGTAAAATGTCTTTGTGCTTAAAAGTATGGTCATTTTTTTTATTCTATGGTATTCGTTTCTTTTTTTAATTTGGTGTTTCATTTCCGTACATTTCCGCTTCACCTTTATTCTTTTACAAATATCTCCACCGTCATACTACGGTTTATCAATTCTAAAATACTTTCAAGCAATATGTGGCCGAGTATATACAGAAAACAGTGTCTTTATGCACAAATGCACATCTTTGATACACCCATGAAGGGCATTTTTGTACAGCAGAATCTCTACAGGTCTGGGCATTCATTTCATGACGTCTCTCGCCCCGTCATTCCCCGCGTTTCTTCGAAAGGAAGGCTCCGGGATTGTGCACATTCACGCCGATTACCACTTCCCCGCTGACGGATTCATTGCGACTAACAGGGCTGCCAGCACGATCGCTATCTCCATTCATCGCTGTGTCATTGAAATGGGCACATCGTCAGCCATTAAAACGGACCTTCATCGCTCCATACTGTTCCCTATTGCCTTTTGCATCGGTCAACTTTCTATTTGCAGCAGTTTCGGATCTAGGAAATGTAAGACATCGGGCAAAACTGAAATTTGTTTCGTTTTATGATAAAAATGTCTAATATAAGTATGCATTCGTTTTATTTAGTATTGCCTAATATGACTGCATTAGTAAACATGTTACCCTAAATAGTTTGAACCCCTGAAGTAGTTATATACTGTGAGAAGGTGATAAAAAATATTGAAGGGTTCAAGTACCCAAAATGTCGCTCCAAATATTGTTTAACTAAATGCAAAAGCAGTTATTATTACATGTTACCAACATGTACCCTCATATAGGTATGTCGTTAATTATATACAATTACACAAATAAAGAAATAAATGCAAATAAAATGCATACACAAAACAGCCAGGTATAAAATATACTAATGTTTTCCGAGAGTCTAATATTGAATTAACTTTTTATGAAACAAATAACCTCACATTTAGTCTTGCTTAATCTTGTCCGCCCAATAATATTTTGAGTTGGAGAGGGAATATTTGGAAAGAGAATCGCAAAAGAGATGCGGATGGAAAGCTGTAGCGGCTTCAAACGTATATATCACATATTCGCTATTTAAACTGTCTACGGTGTTTCATTATGCGAACAAAACAACAAAAAATAGCCAAAAACAAACAAACGAAAGTTTATTCCAAAAGTCCATTGTAGTTACGCTAATTAGTTAATTTAATTGTAAAATACTGATAAAATACAATAGCATTGAGGATTTTACGTCGTTTGTTCATCATAACGCTTTTTCTTAAATATCTACTTCATGAACGCTTTAAAATATCGGTTTATTAATATCC